CCGTAGGCCCCACCCATCCTCCTCCTTTCTCTTTAGTGGCTGTCTAAAGTAAAATGTTTTGGTGGGTGTAATTTTACTTTGCCAGGACCCGGATGGTCATCAGACCTTGGAAACTTAGTACGTGGATGGGAGGCCACCAAGAAAGTCCAGGGTTGCTACGTAGAGGCAGACAAAGGTGAACCACTTGCCTTGTAAACCCTACAGGGTTGGTATAAGTTGGCTGGGACTTGATGGCACTGCCCACCGCCCTTGTTCACCTTTCCATGAGAAGGCGAAGTAGCCAAAGTCCCTGGCTCTGTAAAAGGATCAAAAGCACAGAAGCCCTCTGCTCCCATGCGTCTGGCCACCCTTAGGCGAGGAGAAACTGTATGTGTCGGTTCTCACGTTGTCGTTTGGCTCCTGGATCTGAAAGCTGACGTCTGCTGCACCTAGTGACGGAACCCAGGACCTGGTTCTTGTACGTAGTGTCTGTCACTGCGATAATAGTGGCTTATGTATGTTTCTAGCAAAAGCAGTGACGAACTAAAGCAGCAGAACTCCGAACTGTCAGAGAAGCTGCATGCGCTGATCTCAGAGAACTCGTCCATGAAGTTGGATGTGGAAGATTTGCATAAGAAACTGGAAATGGCAGAGCTGATGATTCAGCAGGTAATTGTGACGTTGCTAGAGGAGCTTCTTGCTCTGCAGCCCAGCTGCAGCTGTGGAAGAAGGGGGTCTGACTGACTGCAAAGTGCTGTTTTCGCACAGCCAAAATTATACATTCCGTGGGAAATTTGCAGTCAGGGACACACACCACTCAAGTAGAAGTTTCCCCCCATAGCTGCCAGCCATTGGGGTGGGGTGGGAGTGGGGGTAAAGACTATGACTCAATTTCCTTTACTGTGGCTAATGGAGGGTGATGCTAGGGAAAGGGTTAAATCCCTTACCAGTGCTGTGGCCGTGATCCAGATTGTGTCTGCTTTTTAAAGTTAAAACAATGGGATATAGTGGATTATTTTACATGGGGGGGGGTTTATGTTCAAAAATATATCCCTTGATCAAAAAGTTATTCTGTTGTGTTATTTAAAAGGGCATGTTGCCCTTTGGGATGTAAAACTGATTCTGAGCTTACTTACCTCTGCTAAATTGTCAATAATAGCCAAATGAAAAAAGTTAGAACCTCCTTCAAATGGTAAATGGTTCCACCAGATGTGGAATATTGCATTATTAACTAAATTGTCAAAGGGCCCAGACAAATAATTTCCGGTGTTCAGATAAATTGGGAGTTGGGTATTCATAATATTTTGGAATTTGGAAGGTAAAAGAAAGTGTTTACATGTGCATTTAATGAGTTGTTATAGTGCTTCTTGGTGTCTCTGCGCAACTGGAAGTATGACATTTGTTACGTTGTATGTTGTAGATCAAGATGGGTAGCTGCGCCCTGACCTGAATAGCTCAGGCAAGCCCAGTCTTGTCAGATTTCGGAAGCTAAGCAGGGCCGACCCTGGCAAGTAATTGGAAGGGGAGACCTTCGAGGAATACCAGGGCTCGGGACACAGCGGCAGGCTATCCAGCCACCTGTCTGAAAAATGTCTAAGCCCCCAGTAGGGGTCGCCAGAAGGCAACATGACTTCCAGGCATAGGCACACATGCTCTGCACCTGTGTTTGTAGCAATAGAAAAAAGCAAGAGTCCAGTAGCACCTTAAAGACTAACAAATTGAACTAAACAATCTGAAGAAGTAGGCAGTGACTCATGAAAGCTCATCCCCTGCCACAAAGTTTGTTAGTCTTCGAGGTGCTTTCTGCTCTTTTCTATTGTTGTGTGTTGTGTTATACTTTTGAAAGGTCTTAATTTTAAAAAGTCAGGAGCAATGCTCCCTCTAAGCTGTGGAGTCTTGTGGGCAAAAATTATACTTGGTGAGCTCCTGGCATTAAAGCTGTGAGTAAGCGATTTGGCTACTGCATAAACTAGCTTGCTCTGGAGCCCTCCTTCCTGAGCTAGGACAAAAATATGTGAGCCAGAGGCTAAAAAAACTGTGAGCTAACTCACACTAACTCAGCTTAGAGGGAGCACTGGTCAGGAGATCCCATCATGGATCGTCAGTGAAATGTGCAGATTTGGTCACCATAGTCCTCAAAAGAGGAGGTGATGATGTATTTGGCAAGCTTTGGAACAACTTTTATCATAGGAATTTAGTCATCCTTGTGTTACGTGGAGAAGTTTGAGAGCCAAGTTAACTGTGCTTTATTGGTAACTGTTATCCCTGTGCATCTTAAGCAGAGCTCTGTGTACTTTGCTCCTCGGGACTTTGAATTCTTCACTAGAAAAGTCCGGCATATTTTTTTTAAACATAATGTTGCCTCTTGAGATTCCACTAGTTGGCAACAAATACTGTAGTTTTGGAAGCGAGGATTCAGAGATTAAGATGACCAGTGAGTGGACATGGGGGAGGAGGAACTAGCAGCCTTAGGAGGAAGATAGAGAGAGATGAGGGGTGGGGCTTAGACGTTGCAGTTCAAGACCCGGGGAACACCCTTCCAGTTACATACTGTTCATACATTGCCTGTAGGCTTAGATTTGGCTCTAAAGCCGTGAGAGGTGGAAACTTGGACTGAAAAGTAAATGGAAGCTAAGATAACCAATAATTTTTATATCAGCTAGCAGATCCTTCCATTGCGCTGAGTTCACAGATCCTCTGCCCTTAAATACCTCTTCCCCCCCCCCCCGCCCTTCTACCAGTGCAAAAACCATCCATGTCAATAATATGTTTTGCAATTCTGAGCTGGAACTCTGGGAATCCTCTTGTGGGCTGCTGAATCTGGGAGAAGATGAATGGAGATAGGATGCATGTTTTTACAACCATCTGTTCGATTCTTCTGCTAGTTTGCAAGTCAGCCTGGGATCCCGGACGCCACTCAGCAGCTGCAAACGGCCCTGGAGGAGAGAGCCAACTTAGAAGCACAGATTGCCCAGGTAAGAACCGAAGGGTGATATTGAATGAAGGAGCCCCGCGTATCCAGCCCTTTGTGATGGGGCCGGGCAGCCCCGTCTCGATAGTAGCTACCTCCACGCGGCTTGACTTGCGCTCTCTCTTTTTCCTTCTGACCCGCCGAGCAGCTGGCGGAGTCGCTCCAGCAGCTCCAGGCTGAACGGGATCAGTATGCCCACAAGCTGAAGGAGGAAGGGGGAATCTGGCAGCAGAGGGTACAGCTGCTGTCCGAGCAGGTAAGGGGGGCAGCCGCGCTTCAGGGAGGCAGAGCCAGTCATTTATCTCGAAAGGCGAGGATCACAGGACAGGGGTTTCTCTTCTTTCTTGTGGTACAGATCCATACTTTGACAGAAGAGAAGGACCTGAATGTGACGCGCATCCAGGAGCTGGAAGCTAACTTGTCTGAGCTGCTCAACAGTCAGTCGGGTAAGGTTCTGAGCGGAAAGGAAGCCTTTCTTCCATACCTCTGCCTCTCTCCGTTTGTGGGATCCCCTTGTCCCCTTCTCACAGTCCTGCTTTTACCTGTTCTTCTGTGGCGTTTCCCTCGCCGGGCAATCCAGTGAGTTGCTTCTCCTCCTTCACGTCCCTTTTCCAGTGTTGCATATCTGCCCGCTCCAGCCGCTCCACACATCACGTTTAAGTGTAGCAGGCGTGTGTCGGCACGGGTAGACCCCGGTTTATCTTTGCACGGATGAAATGATTCCTTCACATTCTGTAATTTCCTTCTTGAATCGCCGCAGGGCCAGATTAGATATGGCTAAACGTGGGTCTGCGGCAGTCCCACACAAAGAGAGCGTGTGTGTCTGGTTCAAGAGGCTTGCTTGGGATGTCAGGCCAGGGGTCTGATCCTAGCAGAAAGCAAAGGGGGGGTGTAAGGAGAAGGACGGGTTCATAATGAGGAGTGCCTCCCCCTCATTCCTCCCCCGTTGTTCATCACCCCGTGTCCTCTTTCCCAAAGCACTTTTCTCTCAGGCAGGCTCATTTCCAATATAAGAACTGTAGCTGGGATTGAGGAGAGGGCCTGTTGGAAAGTAAGCCAGTTTGGTGGGGTGGTTAAGTGCACGGACTCTAATCTGGGAGAATCGGGTTTGATTCCCCACTCCTCCACTTGCACCTGTCTGGATGACCTTGGGCAAGCCGTAGTTCTGATAAGAGCTGTTCTTGAAAAAGAGCACTTTCTGTCAAGAGCTCTCTCAGCCCCACCTACCTCACAGGGTTTCTGTTGTGGGGAGGGGAAGGGAAAGGAGTTTGTAAGCCGCTCTGAGACTCCTCTGGGTAGTGAATGGGGGGGTATAAATCCAATCTCTTCTTCTAAGTACAGGGAGGGGTAGAGGGCTTAGACGTATGCTCACCTTTTGCTCCTTAAATGCCTACTCTCTCTGCTTTTCGCTTTTGAGGAAGCCTTGAGCTCACTAAGAGAGACGTTTTGCAACGTTCATTGTTGAGATTTGGATCAATATTTTGGTATTTGGCAACCTTGTGCTTGGAAATATCTGTTGAACTCCCTGAGGAAGACCCTGAAACAGGAGGATATCTGGACCTCTGTTGGAGGAAGACTGAGTACGAATTCAAAATAACTTAAAGGAGTCCTCCCTCTTAAAACTTTAGTGCAATTAAGGATTGGTGTTAATAAAGGGACTGTGCAATAGCTTTTGTGATATATAAAAAGACGATACTTAGATGTTCGGATATATGATTATTTCTGTCTATATGATAATTAATGTAATTGTGAATAATTTGTAAGAAATATAGAAAACCCCCAATATTATTGGCCAATATTATTGGGCAATTAAATGTAACTGGGGATGGTTAAAAGGGTTAAAAGATTGACACAGTTCATAAGAAGTACAAAGACGAAAAGTCTGAATGAAGTATAAAAAGCTAGTTGGAGATCTCCTCTCTTGGGTTTTTAGTTAGTAGTGGGTTCTTTACTTTCTCCCTTATATGTAGCTTTCCCTTTCCCTTTTTTCTGTTCTAGTTTTTGTAGTGTTTAAAAAGTCAATAAAAAAATCCCCTCCGGGGGCTTAAAAAAAAAAAAAAGAAATATAGAAAAAATAACATATAAAAAAATAAAAGGGAAAAAAATTACTTGAGGTACTTTGTAATCTACTGTAGCACGGTATTTGCTTTCTTTTGATTTGACTGACAGCAGCTCTCCGTGGTAAAGTGGGAGTGAAATGCCCTTTCTCTGTGCTTGCCAGGACTTGAGCCCCCCCCCCCCACGCTCCTTTTGCCTCTCGCCTGACCCGACAGCCTGATCCTTTCTACTACAATTTTTAACACTCCACTCTCCTCTCCTTACCATTTGTTCGCCAAGCCCTCGCCAGCTTCCCTTTCTTCCAGGAGAGAAGCTGTTTGGTGTCAGTATTCCACAGGTTCCCTCAGCTCAAGCGGTAGGGAGGAGGGAAGAGCAGTTAAAGACACCGGCAGCCCTTGAAAATTCCATCTCACATAATTGAGGGGGGCTTCAGGTAGACTGGAAGCCAGCCTTCACCCGACAGCTCGGGGAAATCCCAAGGAAACTTGTATAGATTTTGGTGGCCTAGAATCAAGGAAGCCAACTGTGAACCAGTGAAAGAATTAGTAGCTCCTAAAAGAAGTACAGGGCTAAGCTCCTGAAGTAACCCGTGACGTGCCTTGTGCTGGTCGCTTGGGTATAAACTAGATACATCAGAGAGCCCGGTTCTCGTTAGTGCCGTTGGGCAGCGATTGTGTTCCATGTGCTAGTGTTGGCACAGAGACACTTTAGCCCGTCTTCAGGAGGCCTTGGATCCTCCAGCTGTGGCCACCCGTTGACCTGCGTCTGTCTGACTTGACTTTGCAGCCCCGAAGCCCCAGGAGAGTGAGCCGCCCCCCCCAGCAGGGCCCACGGAAGCAGAGCTGCGCTTGCAGGATGAGGTCAGCCAGCTGCAGCAGGACAAGGAGGAGCTTCGTGAGCAGTGCCGGGCCCAGGTGCAGGACAACAAGCAGCTGAGCCGCCTCAATCGCGAGCAGGAGGAGCGGCTGCTGGAGCTGGAGAAGGCGCTGCAGCGCTACAGCGAGGAGGCTGTGGACAGGCAGCAGATCCTGGAGCACATGCAGAGCGACAAGGCGACCATCAGCCGGGCCCTGACCCAGAACCGGGAGCTCAAGGAGCAGCTGGCCGAGCTGCAGAATGGGTTTGTCAAACTGGTGCGTCCCTCCTCGGGGTCACAGGGAGGAGCTCCCTCTCTCGTCGGGTGTGGTCCTAGGGCTGGCCTCTCCCTTTGGCGGCAGGGACCCTGGAACACTAGAAGGGGGTGGGTGGGTCATAAAGTACCAGAGGAGAGTCCTTTGTCAGAAGCTGCTTGTTCAACAGCATCTCTTCCATCCATCCGTCCACAATCTTATTTTTATATAAAACACTTCTACTCCGCCTTTCTCCTTGAAACAGGGACCTTTTGCTGTTTTGACTCTCTGTTGCCCGAGGATGGGGGCGTCCTCTGCTTGTTACCAGCCTGTGACTAGTTGCCCATTTTTCTTTTTTTGCTTCTGGGCTAGCCCCGGCTCCCAATATATTCCTCAATATAAAAATAAAGTAAATCCCATTTTACACTGTCTAAAAAACAAGTTTCTGGTCCTTCTAGCTACAGAAAGGAACACGGAAAGACTTTTGCTTGCCAACCTGAATAGACAGAATTTGCATGAGCTGTGTGAACGAGCCTTTCTTTTGGAGAGCAAGTGGTTGTAAAGAAAAGTTGCGCCATATGCCTTGTGGAGCTGTCCCCAGGTGCATTGAGGGAGGCTTGCTCTTTTCTGTTCCTTTTTCTTTGCGTTTTCTTGTTTTAGATAAAGCAAGTACTTAAGGATCTTTTATAGTATGGGACTAGGGATGCGTGCATTTGGCTTTGCCGAACTGAAAAAAAAAATCGAACAAATACATTACATTATCGGTATTTTTAAAGCCAAATGCAAATTCAGGAAACTTTTTGGCTTCTGAATACAGTTTCCCAAATTTATTCAGCTTTCTGGTAGCCAAATATGGACTTCCCTCCTCCTGTGGCTTCCCTAGTCAATTTCACTCCCTGCCAGTCAGCTGTGGGAGTGAAACTGACCAGGAAAAGCCTCCTCCCTCCCTACCTTCCCTCCTCCAGCTGCCCATGGGCTGCTGGAGAAGCAGGGGCAGAGAGCCCAGCCATGCTTGAATGCCTTTCTTTCCCTCTCCCAGTTCAGGGAGGGAAAGAAAGGCATCTAAACATGCCTGCCGGGTTCCCTCCCTGCCCTTCTCCGGGGCGCCTGCGTGGCAGCTGGAGAGGGGCTGGCAAGGAGCCCCTTTGCTTTCCCAGGGCCCCTGCCGCTGTAGCATTTCCAAATGAAGAAAGTTCTTCAATCCCTTGATGGTTTAGATTACTCATTCCTGTATTTTCTTCTAGCTCTGTAGGGTTGTTTTTGTTTTCGAGATGGTGTGAGCTGAACTGTGGGTTCTGTCCCTTCCACTCAGCCAAGTGCAGAGCCTTCCTCCAGAAGAGGAGGCTTATTCTTCCAGAAGAAGGCTGCACAGTCAGCTGTGTGGAAAGATGCCGCCCAGGATTCCAAGTGCAGCTCCAGCGTAGACTCGCACAAAGGGCAGTGCAGTTCTGGCCTTCTGGTTTCCAGTCCTTTTCCTAAAAACAGTCCCCAGTGTGGAGTTTTGTACTTTTCAGTGTTGCTGTACACTGAGCCGAAGTTCTTTCACCGTGCTGTCTTCCAACCCGCAATCTGCTTCCAAGTTACTAGTTAGAACTAGTTAGAGCTCAAGATGGTATACTAGTTAGAATGTTGGACTAGGACCCGGAAGAGCCTCTGCTTTGTAGGTAAAAGGCTCCAGGTTCAGTCCCAGTTAAAAGGGACAGGCGGCAGGTGATGGGAAAAGACCTCTGCCCGAGACCCTGGAGAGCCGCTGCTAGTCATAGTACTGACCTCGGTAGGCCAGTGGCCTGATCCATTATAAAGCCCCTCCACGTGTTCTGCTCGCCGTGAGACTTTCCTGGATGAGCTGAGGCCAGTCATTCTCTCTCTGCCTTGTCTACCGCACCAAGCAAGCCACTGCGAGCTCCTTAGAGGAAGGGCAAGATGAAATTGCACAGAAATAAACCTATTTCCCTGTTAGAACAAAGCTGGAGCCCAGGGGCACCTGTAAGACCAACAAAGTTTTATTCAAGGTGTGAGCTTTTGTGTGCCCGTGCACTTCATCAGACAGTGCAGGCACCGGGAAGCTCACACCTTGAATAAAGCTTTGTTGGTCGTGAAGGTGCCCCGGGCTCCAGCTTTGTTCTGTTGCTTCAGACCAACAGAGCTGCCCACCTTGCTCTATTTCCTTGTAATAATAGTAATAATAATAATAATAATAATAATAATAATAATAATAATAATAATAATAATAATAATAATAATAATAATAATAATAATAATAATAATA